GCTTACGCGAATGATCATTTATATATATATATATACAATATGAAGTTGTCTCTCATGAATTATTTAATTTTTCTGGAACAATTTTTTTTCAACTTTTTTCAATTCACTGAATTATTCGTGCAATTCAAAAAAAAAAAAAATTATTACAATATCTAATTAGCTATTATTTTGTTTATAAAATTGTTACTCTCTAAATTTTAATTAGTTAAATTTTTTTACTTAAAATTTGAATTAGTGACTGACTTTTTGATTTTGAATTAATAAATTTTAATAATAATTAGTAATTTTTATAAATTTTGCTTTTGAATTAGTAAATTTTACTTATAAATAGTAATATCTACTAATTTTGTTTTTGAATTAGTAAATTTGACTAATAAATAGTAATTTTTACTAATTTTGCTTTTGAATTAGTAAATTTTACATATAAATATTAATTTCTACTAATTTATTAGTAAAATTTACTAATTCAAATCCAAAATGTCAGTCACTATTAAAATTCAGTTACTAATTAGTAGAAATTACTGATTAGTAAATTTTACTAATAAATTAATAGAAATTATTAATTAGTAGATTAGAGATTACTAATTATTATTAGTAAAATTCACTAATTCAAAAGGAAAAAGTCAGTCAGTAATTCAAATTAATTAATAAATGAATTAATTATTTAGAGAGTTCAAAATAATAAAATCAGGAATACAAAAGTTTTAGTTAAAAATTTAGCTACTCAAGTAATCTACAAGATTAATAAAAAAAAGATGAAACATAAAACTTGTAGCTTTGAAACAATTTTTAAAAATAATATTTTAGAAATTTTTTTTCAATAATTTGTTTAAATAATTTTGTTTGAAAAAATTAAAAATTAAACTTTAAAGATTTATAAACTTTAATTAGAAATATATATAAAAAAACAACAAATTTTAAGAAAAATTTCATATAAGAAATATAGGTAATGGGAATTTTTTGGCTTAACAAAAATTTATAGATTCGAAATAATACACATTATCGATAGCATAATCTTATTATTTTTGTGACGAATCTTACGAAAGTTCAAGAGTAATTTCACGAATACGGATTGTGGGACCATTGCGACACTTTTATTCATTAGGATTGCACGTCTTGCGTGGGTATTTACTAGTTACTGACGTTGCTGTTTGCTACCTTGACCGACAATGGAAATTCACATCAAACTTCGCTATATATTTATATATAATATCAAATTATAATACACAATATATTATAATTATACACAAATATATATTTTTTAATTTATTTTATCAAATAATTGTCATTAATTTTTCTTATTCTTCAATAAATAAATAAAATAACTTATATAAAAATATATAAGCATAATAATTTAAAATAACATTCAAATTATTAAAGTATAATTTATTTTATAATATAATTATTTATAAAAATTGATTAATAATAATGACAACAACAATACTATTAATAACAATGAACATAAGAATAAAAATGAAACAACTTTAAACTATTTTATTGTAATTTTCTCATTTTATCACTCGGTAGATTTATGTAAACTATTTTATTATTTAATAAAATTAAAAAAAATTTTAACTAATTTTGTAAACCTGTACTGTATATTGCTTAAATAAATGATAAAATAGTAATAACGGAGAATAATAATAATTTGATAAAATAATAATAACAATAACTTATTGTCATTATGATTCGTGTTATTCTTATATTATAATAAAAAAAACTTGTTATAGACTTAAATGATAAATAAATCATTTTATTTATAAACAAACAAAAGTTACTAAAACATATTGTTGATAACGCCTAAAAAATAGTAATATTAATAAATTTATTTATTTAAATATTATACGGGCTTACAATAAAAAAAAATAATTATAATAATAACAATGACAATAATAATAGTAGTAATAATGGTAAAAATAAAAAAAAATATTGTAAGAAGAATATTGTAAGGGAAATAAAAAAAAAATAAAAATAATAATAGCAATAATAATAATGATAAATTATTCATAAGGCACGAAAAAAAATAATCTTTTTAAAAGTACATTTTTTCAATGTAACTCAGGCTTTTCGTTTGATCTTGTCAATGTCGCCATCTGTGAAAGTCGTAACTAAATTTATATCATCTCGCGCCTTCACTGCAGTCGATATTGCAGTGATCTTTCATTTAGCATTTTAACAATAACCGATAAAACAGGTAACTATACAAATTAATGTAAATTTGAAAATTTTTTTTTTAATCTAAAAATGCAATTTTTCTTTCTTTCATTCTTATCAAGAATCAATATGGACAAAAGGGAGAGTGTGAAAACTTACCTTGCGTCGCCATCTCTGCGGCGCAAAAAGGGAAGAAAAAAAATTCATTAGATATCTTATCAAAATATTATAATTGTGACGTCAAAAGCCATTTGATTATTTATTATTATTTTTCTAAATGTAGACATACCAATACTTTTTCCCTTCAGTTACCATTATCTTTATTTCTATTATTATACCTATCAGGTATTTAAATTTTTTATATTTATTTTGCATTTCTTTTTTTAATTATTTCTTTTTTGAATATTAGGTATAATATTGAATTAATATACATTAAATATATTATATTTTTTATTCAGTCAATATATGGGCTTATATTAAATATTATTATTTATAATTAATAATTGTAATTTAATAATGTCTATTATCATAATATTTATAATTATAAAATTATAACATTTATAATAATTTATAGGCTCGTGTATTGTTCAAATAAATAAATAAATTTCAATAAAGAAATTATTATAATAAGAAAATTATTTCATGATTTTTATAACTTTTCATATTTTTGCCATTGTCCTTATTCTCATTGTTTCTACTATTGTTATTATTATTATATTTATTATAAATATATTTCTTAAATAAGTAAAAAATATATATATTATTACTATTCTCATTATTATTGTCATTATTATCATTATTATATTTGTTATTATTATCTTTATCATTATATTTTTATATTTTTACTTTTTAGGATTATATAATAATCATTAGCTACATTATCAGAATTATTTACAACATAAAATATGTCTGTAAAAAAAATTTGTTTTTGTATGAAATGAAAATATTCCTTTTATGAACAAAATAATGAAATTTTTTATTTGAAAGCAAATATTTTGATATTTAAGAATTTTGTTTGTACGAATTTATGTTGTCTACATTAATACATATAAGAGTCGATAGGCTTGATTGAATTATTTGATAATCGTAAATTCTTTGGAGGAACCTTGTCAAGTTGGATGATCCGTTATTATACGGTGACCTAACATGAACACTGTATGTATTGATAAAAGCACACGTAACTTGGTTAGTTGATCTCAATTCCTTTTTTGTGCACTTCACTCTCTCATAAAGTGCTTGCATTTCAAAGTGAAGACATTTTTCAAGTGTAGAAGAAATATTGACGAAATAATTTCAATTTTTTCTTCCGCATATACAAACGTATTTATATAATATATATTCAATCGAGTTTTAATTTTTTCATTATTTAGAATTATTTTCTAGTGTCTACAATTAACAATTGTAGGTAGAATTTTTAATATTTGGTATTAATTCATGAAAAATAGGAAAAAAACGGTCAAAAAATAAAAAAAGAAAGAAAATATAATGATTAGTTTGTTGATTGTGCAAAGTAAACATGAGTTCCTGTGTAGCTCAGTGGTTAAGGTACTTTACTTAGATGAGAATTGGACCCGAGTTCGATTCCCAGTACAGGTCGCGTTTTTTCCGCATGCTTGCTCTTTGAAACTTTGAAATTAAAGCAGAGAAGAATGTTAGAAGGAGAAACACAGGCGCATTTAAACAGCAGAGAAAAATAAGAATTAAGAAAAACAGAAAAAGAAAAAAGAACACGAAAAAGAAATTAATCCGAATTTTCTTCAAAAACAAATCGAGGGAGAAAATCGATTAAAAAGATTATTGAGAAAATTAATAGAAAAAAAGAAAATAAAAGATATCGAGAAAAGAAGAAAAGGAAAAAAAGAAATTATATAAAAGAACAAAAAAGAAAGGAAAAAATTTATATAAAGAAACTCAGAAAATGAGAAAAAAAAGAAAAAAGAAAACTACATAAAGAGAAAAAGAAATAAAAAGATGATAAAAGAAGGAAAAGAGAGAAAGAAATTATATAAAGAAAAAAGAAACAAAAATACGAAAATTGAAAGAAAAAATTGCATATAGAGAAAAGGAAATTAAAAGAAGAAAAAACAAAAGAAGGAATTATATTAATAAACAAGAATACGAAAAAAAGGAATGAAAAAATTGCATAAAAAGAAAAGAAAATAAAAAGAAGAAAAAAGAAATAAACAAAGGAAGAAATTATATAAAGAAACAAGAAAACAAAAAAAGAAAAAAATGTAAATGAAAAAGTCGTAAGAAGAGAATAGAAAGCACAGAAAAAAATAAAGAAACGAAGAAACAGAAAGTAAAAAAGTAAGAGCAAAATGAAGAAGCAGTAAGAATAAAAAAAAACTCGAATGTGTCAGCGAAATGAAAAAATCCGTATGAATGAAAAGTAAAATTCCAGAAAAAATAAAAGAAAAAGAAACACAATAAAAAGAAAATACTTTTAAAAAAATAAAAAGAAGAGAAAAAAGAAGAAAAGAAGAAAAGAAAATAAAGCAGAAAAATAAATAAAAATAAATAAAGAAAACCGTGTTAAATAACGAGAAAAGAAGAAAAAAATAAGAATCAAGTCAAAAGCGATATGAAATTTAATCATAAAAATTATAATTATGTATCGAGTATATTGAATCACTTTTGTTTTTAATTCCACATTATTATTTTTTTTCACTTTTCAGCTCTTTGGAAACAAGCCAATACTTTTTGCTTCCGCATTTTTTCTCAGTCAGTCTCCTTATAAATTTATAAAATTCAACAATTGATTCAATTCAATTATACACTAGATTTTCGTGTAAAATAAAATAAATAGAAAAATTTTCAAAAAAATACACATATAAATGACTTACTTGGAAATGAAGAATGATGGTCCAGATTAAACCAAGAGTCAATTTTGGATTGCCATCGACAATATCCTCGGCTCGAATATTAACCAACTTGATTTTCTTGTATCGAAGAAAGTCAAGTGCCATTTGCACATTTTGCAGCATGTGGAAACGCATTCGACCCCTTTCCCGAGGCTGAAAATGAGGGAAAAAATTATTATTTTTATGAAATACTATTTTTCTTGTATAAAATAAATATATATATGCAAAATTCAACTATACATATTAAGAACCCAAAAAGTAAGATAATGAATAAAATAAGTAATTACTTTCATTTTTAGAATATAGTTGTAGAAAGTAAAATAGAAAAAAAATTAAATTACAATTTTCGAAATTGAAATAGAGACAAAAAAAACTGAATTCGATAATGTAAGTTTAATTTCATATCATAATTTAGATATGCGATCATTAAAATTGACCTGCCAGGGGAAACGAATGCGTGTCAAAATGTCAGAGATGTTGAGGCAAATTTCTAGATTTATAGGGTAATTGGTTATATCAAATTGAATTTAACGATTTCACACATAATTAATTCATGAAAATGTCAATTCCGTAGATAATTGTATTTTTAATCTAAGACTAATTTTTTATTTAGCCCAATTATCAATATATTTAGCCAAATTAATTAGTAGTGTTAATTTCATTTAGCAGAATATTTAATAAGTACCATTTTATCACATATGATTAAGAGGAATTTTTTTATTTAGCCACATTAACAGTATGTTCAGCGAAATTGACAATTTATTTGGCCAAATTAATTACTAGTGTGAATTTTATTTAGCAGAATTTTTAATGAACACAATTCTGTCAAATCATTAAGAGCAATTTTCTATTAAGCCAAATTAACACTTTATTTAGCTGAATTAATAATTTATTAAGCGAAATTAACAAATTTATATAGCCAAATTAACAATATATTCAGCCAAATAACGAATGGATTTAGCTAAATTTTTATTTAATCTCATTAACAAAATATTTAGCCGAATTAATAATATATTTAGCCAAATTAAATGTTATTGTAAATTTTAATTAGGAGAAAATTTTTCAAATCGTTAGTAGAGGTTTAAATTTAGCCAAAGTGACAATTAATTTTACAATAATAATTATACATTTAGCCGAATCATGATTCTCAGTCGATTGAAATTTTATTTGGCTCAATAATAACAGTTTAAGTGTTGTTTAATTAAATTTTTATTTATCTAAAATATTATTATAATTAAATTTTTTTGTTTTTAGAAACAATTTTTTTTTCGGCTAAATGAATAATTAGCGATAAAAATAAAATTTTATCATTTTGAAAATCTGGTAATTAAAACTTTATTTTCAAAAACTTTCTACTGAGGAGAAATTTAGTTTAGTTAAAGTTTTGCTAAATAAAAAATTTTGTTAATAAAATTTCGGTAAAATAAAAAATTGAATTGCAAATTCTGCTAAATAAAAGTTCGTCGAAGGATTAATTCTATTGAAAAAAAATCCATATTGATAATTTTGTTCAATAAAAAAAGTTTAGACTGTAAAGGAAGCGTTCACAAATGATGTCACGCAATTTTTGGAGATTTTCGACCCTCCCCCCCTACCCCCTGTCACGCAATTTTTGCAATTTCACATGAGAAAAATACATTGTGTCACGTTTAGTAAGAGCCCCCCCCCTACCCCCAAAAGCGTGAAATCATTTGTGAACGCTCCCAAATGTTCATTTAACCAAAGTATATTTCGGCCTAATGGAAATTTCAAGATCAAACCCAAAATTTCTGTATAAATGAAAATTTGAACAAAATGGAATTGAAAGTAAAAATGAAAAAAACGTAAAATTGAGTAAAATAGAAATTTTCGGTTAAATAAAGACTGCGTTTAATAAAAACTCTCTAAACTTAATTTCAAAATTAGATTAAATTAAAAATTTAGCAAAATAAACGAAAGGTGAAAAAGTATTTTTTTCAATTTATATATAAAAGAAATATTCGATTTCGTATGAAAAATGAAAAAACAAAAAAAATACATTAAAATTATATGTAAAAATTTAATGGAAATAAATGATTCACTACATTCTGAGTCTTGCACTATATTCATTTCAAAACGAATCCACGGAAAATTATAATGGATATTCTGAAATCGTTTGCCAACAAGCAAACACCATTAAATTCTGACTTATACGGACAAACTTATGGTTACGTTAATTAACTGCAATTTAACTGCCAGTTTGTTTGTTCCCAATAATGCCAATTTCAATTCCCTCCCCTCCTATTCTCCCTCACCCACAACGATTTAATGATTTGTGTCGCCATTACAAAAAAAAACAAAGAAAAAAATACAATTTTTTTGAAAATACAAAAAAATTTTATAGCCTTTTCTTTGTTTCTCTGTGGCACTAAAAATATTATAAATATTAATGAATGTTAATATTTGTCAATAACAATTTTTTAATGAAAGTAGAAAACTTGGAGATATTTAATATTTTTTAATAAACGTATTTTAATATTTACGAGTTTTTTCTTCTTCAAGGTGGAAATTTAATTTATTTGTTTTTGTTTGTAAAGTAAGAGTAAGAACAGTATTCCGGAAACAGGAATTTTGGCTACTGAATCATTGTTTTATGACCTTGAAAAAATAGCCAATGAATAGCTGAAGACTCACAAATGGGCGTTTTAATTCGAGCGTAATTGTAATCTGATGTAATTATTATAATGTAAAAAATAAATAATACGTTTAATTCAAATAAAAAAAATATATTTATATAACTATAAAATAAATATAAAGAGTAATAATTCTTAAAATCATTTCCAGAATAATTTCAGATTTGTTCCGAAAATTTTTCTAAAATCCCTTCACATGGGTATAAAAAATATAATAAATAATAATTATGAAAACTATAATATCAACATTTCAAATAATTTGTATGCTGGAAAATTTCGCTTAATATTATAATATACAATAAAATATTGCAAAATAAATTTCGATTATGAATAAAAGAAATAATGATTTTAATTAATAATGAATTAAATAAAATTTCTTTTTTAAATAAAATAATAATATTTAATAATAATATAAACAATAACATTTTTCAAATTTTTATTGTATGAATGAATTTGAATAAAAATGAATATAAATAAAATAAATAATAAGTAAATAAAATAAATAAAAATACTGACATTTTACAGAATTGTCATTGAACCGAACATTCATTTACGAATTATAAATATTGCTAATTGCCATATAATTATAAATAAAAATGACTCATTTTCTGAAATTTTAGCGATTTAGTCCTTTATATGGCTGTTAATTTTCTGAGTTAACATTTACATTCCTTTTTTGCGGATATATTCAAATTGACGGTATTTCTCACCTTCGTCTATTGATGTCTATTTTTATGAACACAAATACAGTTACTTCAACTTTACCTTCACTTTCCATGAAAAATAACATTTTTCATATATTAAAAACCTTGGGAATGAAAAGTGTTCTGAATAAAAAAAATTATTTGTCACAATTTTAATTGAACACATTGATTTTATTGATTAAATTCATAAATTTATAAATAGAAAATTAATTAATTTATGCTGATAAAATAAAAAGTTTCAATTTATTAACTTTTCTTTAACCAAATTTTTCAATTAGGAAATTGTGAATAAAAAAATTAGAATTATCATTTGACTAAATTTACCAAATATTCTACTGTGTGGAAAAAAATACAAAGTAACTTTTATTTATTCCGAAAGTAAAATTTGAACTATATAGAATTTCTACCCATTTTTTTTGTGAATTTTCACAAATTTTAAAGTAAATTTTACTAATTTTACTAAAATTCAATTCAGAAATAGGTAATAAAATTTACTATATTGTGTGTAAAATTTACTTTTAAAGTATAGTAGAATTTACTACATTTACCATAACTTTTATTTCAAAAGTAGTCAAATTTCCTGAAATTTACTGAATTTACTCATTTTACTAAAACTAAATATGAAAATAGTAAAGTTTACTAAATTTATTAATTTTACTAAAACATAATTCGAAAATAGTTAATTTTGCTTATTTTTAATATTAAATATTTTCAATATATTTTTACTAATACTTAATGCGGAAATCGTAATTTATGTAATTTTTACACTAGTTTTTATTTTTGAAGAAGTAAAATTTACTAATTTCATAAAAATTTACTAAATTTCATTTAGTTACTAATGTTATCTTCTACTAATAATATTTTTTACTAATGTTTACTTCAAAAAAAATTTTTTTTTACTAATTTAACAAAAATTTACTTCAGAATTACTAAAGTTTAGTACTTACTATACTAAAACTTCATGAGAAAATAATCATGTTAACTAAATTCTATACTCTCATATTTACTTCTGGAAAAGTAACTTAATTTCTTTTTTCTTTGATTTGTTTTTAGTTACTGTTGATTTTGTTTTTTGTATTGTTATTAGCATAAACACTCGGCTAATAAAAAATTTGATAAACAAAAAATATATTTTCTAGAATACTCTTTAAAATCTGAATTAATTACTTTAAATTAATGAAATATAGAACCGTTCCTAAATAAAAAAATCCTAATAAATAATTAATAAATAATAATGAATAATAAACTAAATAAATTAGTAAGCATTTTGACTAATTCTTATAGCGAAAAACAACTAATTTGTAAAAGAAAAAAACCTATAATATTTAGAAGACATCAATTTAATTACTTTCATTTAACATAACTTACAAATTAGATTAATTGATGAATTATTCATTTTTAACTAAAAATTACTTTCTGAAATTGAATTAGTAGTAATGTTTACTAATTTGAATTAGTGATTTACTTTTTGCTTTTGAATTAGTAAATTTTACTAATAAATACAAATAGTAATTTCTACTAATTTTTGCTTTTGAATTAGTAAATTTTACTGATAAATAGTAATTTCTACTAATTCAAAAGCAAAAAGTCAGTTAATAATTCAAATTAGTAAACATTTTTACTAATTCAAATTTAGAGAGTAATCAATGAATCACAAGTTTTGAACGTTCAAATGAACGAAATATTTTGTATTAAAAATATTTTCATAAATTATTGATTCGAATAAAAATTTAAAACTTAGATTCTACATTTAAAAACTTTAAAAATTAATTTTTTTGATAGTAACTCAAAATTATTGTCATAAAAATTGAATTTGAGGAAGAAATAAATAAATTTCGTTCATTTGAACGTTCAGAACTTTAGGATCATAGTAATCAGCACTGTTAATAATTTATTTATTTGATAAACGAAACGATACTGTTGAATTAGTCAAAAGTGACTAATTCAGATTTAGAGAGTAAATTAAAGATAATTATTCAAACAAATAATATTTTTGTATCAAAACAGTAGAAATTTTCTATATATTGGGATTAAGCTTAAAAATTAATTTCAATTAAACAAAATCACTTACAATTATTTTTCTATTTAAATTTAATATAATGTTTTTTATCCCACATGCACAAAAATGGCGCTTTTAGATAGCTGACGACAGGGAGTAAAGTCACTCATTTGTTCGACCATATGAAAATGGCGTCCATTTTCTCCCAAGAGGCAAACATAACAGCTGATCCCATGCGTTATTTTTGCCCATGGGAGAAAACGGCCGCCATTTTCATACAAGTCGAACAAGTGACTGACTTTTATTCCCTGTCGTCTGCTATCTGAAATCGACACTTTTGTGCATTAGGAATAAAAAATATCGTAAGTAACACGGGAATAAAGGCAGCCAATTTGTTTACGATGATTTTTGTGACACTCGTTCCGGTCTCGGGGCGCCCTCGACCTCCACTCGTGTCACAAAAATCACCGTAAACAAATGGCTGCCTTTATACCCTTGTTGCTTAATATACTATTCTCAGTGCACTATTTCATTAGTTGAAGACTACTAATTCAGATTTAGAGAATTATTAAAAAAAAAGATGGAACAAAATTAAAAACTATATGCCAAATGAACCGCGAATGTGAGCAACAGAGAGAATGATGGGAATCGTTTTCACGAATTGAGATATATTCTTATGGTGATAGGAATGTAAAAAAGGTGTGACTTACAAGGTGCTCGCCTGAGAGTACTTCCAGCAGGGAAATGAGGTTGTGCCCGTCCCGCAGGTCCTCGAATAGGTCCCCGACATGTCTGCTCGCCTGAAACAGATCCCATAAGCACATTAAACGCATGCCATTCCATAAAGATGTTACACAAGAAACGCGCCACGCCATAAACTACCATAATTGTAGATCTAGGTCTCCTCAAAATGATAAATGCGCACTTTTATTTCAACAACAACAACAACAACAAGCGCCACAACAAATATTTTATCATTTGCCAAATTTCTCTCAAGAAAAAAATCGCAATTTAAACAATTACTATTTAAACAACACTCTTTTATATCGTTTAAACAATAAATTGTTTAAATAATCATTGTGTCTTCAATTGTTGTTTAAACAATTGTTTAAACAATACTACTATTTCATATTGATTGAACAAATTATTCAAGCAATCAATATTTGGTTTATATAAATTGTTTGTATAATAATTTCTTTTATATATTGTTTACACAAATTATTTTTAAAAATCTCAACTATTTTAGAGTGTCTAAACAAAATATTTATAAACAATTATTAGTTGCTTTTATTGTTTAAAAAATAATCACTGTTAATTATCAGGTAAACAAATAGTTTAAATTATAATTTCGAAAGATAGTAAAATAATTACCTTTTAAACAATTATTAATTTTTTAACAATGAATATTGTTTATTATTGTGTAAGCAAATTATTTAAATGACAATTACAAAAGATGTTAAAATAATTACCACTTAGACCAATAATTGAGGGGCTTATAGCATCCAGGTCCTCAATTGTTTAAACAATTACCAGTTTTTTCAACAATAAATACTGTTAATTGTTATGTAAACAAATTATTTTAATGATAATTCATAAGGAGGATATAAAAATAGTTATATTTTAAATAAGTTATTTAAACAATCAGTCGTGCGGTAATTATTATAAGTTATTGTGTAAAGAAATTATTTAAATAAATATTGTTAAAATAAATTAGTTCAATGATAAATTTTTATGTTAAGAATTAAAATTTTATTTAACTATTTAATAATTAAACAATTCTAACTTCAAGTTTACATATTATTAAATAATATTTAAATAATACTTTGAAAAAAATAATCAAAGCAATTATTATTTAAAACAATTTTTACAATAATTTGTAAATGTTATTAATAAAATATATTATTTAAACAAATCATTCGTTTATCTCTATTTTAAATGTATACAAAAATCTATTTCATTTTACTGTGAGAGAAATTCAGCGTTTATATTAAAAAATTGTTTTATTTATTTAAAATAAAAATTATTATAAACAAAAATGTATATTCTTGATCAATTGTAATTATGAATTTTGTTTGGCGCTCTCAACATTAAGGTAGAATTTCCTAACTTCTTTTCTACTAAATAATAATAAAACGTAAAAAGTATAATAACAAATAGGAAATAAAAAAAGCATATTATTGCGCACACTTACAACAATTTCATACATTTGTGTATGAAAATAATTAATAACTACTGAAAATATACAATAATTTATTAATTAACTAATGAATAAATAATTAATAAATTAAATAATTAATTAATTAACTAATAAATATATAATTAATTAATTGACACCAATTAATTAATTAATAATTTATTTAATAATTATTTCCCTGTGTAAATTATAGTAATTATTATTAATTAGTTAATAATTAATTAATCATTAATTACTTAATGGAAATTAATTAATTAATCATTAATTACTTAATGGAAATTAATTAATTCATCATTAATTACTTTATAGAAATTAATTAATCAATCATTAATTACTTAATGGAAATTAATTAATTAATCATTAATTGCTTAGTAACAAATAATTAATTAATTAATTAATAATTACTTAGTAACAATTAATTAATAATTAATTAATTATTAACTATTTATAATAATAATTACTGTATAATTTATAAAGAGCAGAAGTGAAATTTTCTCTAAAGATGATGAGAAATTTAAGAGACTAAAATACAAAATATGGAAAAACAATTGGAAAATCAATTTTTTTCAAAAATGTTTTCTAATTTTCGAAAAAAATTTGCCAATTTTTTTTCTAAAATACTTAATAGAAGAAGATACTACTGAGAACAACAATAAGATTAATAACAGTCTGACAACATATATTACATGCAACATCGAGTATTTCACGGGGATCATATGAACTTACAGTGGGAGAACAGCATGGCTGATTGTTGACAACCACGCACACGTGTAGACACGTGTATGCCTGAAAAAGCGAATAAATTCAACACCAACATTCAATAATAGTATTCAACCAAAAATTAAAGGCAAATTTTCCAAAAAAAATTACTCGAAATATTTGTAGTAATTTAAGGGGACATTCCAGTTCAAAATGAAAAAAAAATCGATTTTTTTTTTTTTTTATTTTCGTGTTCCTTATAGTCTCAAGTATACTCTCCTTAAATTTTATTGCAAAATTCGAAGTGAAACAAAAGTTATACGTACATATTCCTTGCCATGTCAATGATGTTTTTATACTTACCAGAACCCTTTCGAATGATTAAAATGTTTCCTTATTTGCCTTTTCCAGAAAAGACATAAAATGTATTTGGGGTTGCTGATTACGAATATTTTCGACGATTTTCAAAATTCAAAATGGCGGATCCAATATGGCGGCCCAATATAGTGAATAATTTAACAAGCTGATGCGATTCGATCGAAATTCGTTTCTCGGGGGTTTTAGGGGTCGATGATTACGAATTTGAGGTCATGTTTGCAAAATTCAAAATGGCGTATCCAATATGGCGACCAAAAATGGCGGAAAATTTAACATTTTCGCCATATTGACATCAATTATTTATTTTTGACATCAAATTCGAATTCAGCGACCTCGAAAATCCCTCAGAAACGAATTTCGACCGACTCGAATCAGTCTTGACATTATCCGCCATATTGAATCCGCCATTTTGAATTTTGAAAAACTCATCAAATTTAAATTCAGCGACCCCGAAAACCACTAAGAAAGGAATTTCGATCGAATCGCATCAGTTTTTTAAATTATTCACCATATTGGGTCGCCATATTGGATCCACCATTTTGAATTTTTTAAATCTGACTTCAAATTCGGATTCAATGACCCCAAAAACCTTAGCCTGTACCCATTGCCACTCAAATCGAATCATATTTAGTATTTCCTTTTGAGGTGGTCATATATGGCCAGTGTTACAAAGGTGGCATGAATTTTTCTGGCCACATATGGGCCATGGACTGCCAAGGGGTTAAAAATTGACAACATTCAAATTTTATGCAAAAAAATATTGAATTTCCAAAATTTTGATGATTCGAAGTCTTTTTTGTAAAATACAATAAGGGAAAAAACTTAAGTCACTCCTAATCGGTTTTAGTAAGGCGATGATATGTATGCTTTGTATTATCACGCAATAATAAGAAGTTTTCACTTTACGTCGGTTTTGTTGGCGTGTCTTAAAAAAACGCGTGTTCGATTTTTTTTTTCAAAAAAATTTGAGAAAAAAAATGTTTGCCCGTGGTGGTAATAAGAAAGGTAGTCGTGAAAATCGACGATATATATATGAAAAAAAAAGAAAATTTAAAGGTAATCAACATACTATTGAACAAGAAGATACTATCGACGCCGAATTTCTGAGTTCATCTGCAAAAAAATTGAAAACAAGTCATGAATTGATGCCGCCAACGGATAGTGCAATAAGATACGTAATTCTGTGTTTTGATTTAGTGTTCTGTGCTTTGTCGAAATTTGTAAAGTGCAAGACGTGTAACGGGGACATTGAGTTTTTGCAGCAAAAAGATCGTGGTTTGGGTTTCAAAATCTGTCTTCGATGTTCCTGTAAACAAAACTACATTGCATCCTCACCAGTGATTGACAAAAATAATTACGAGATAAATCGGCGCATAGTGTTTGTAATGCGCGTTCTCGGAATAGGATACAATGGACTTCAAATGTTTTTATCACTTATGGATATTTCCACAAATTTTTCAAAAGGAACATACTATTCTGCTATCTCGAAAATTCATAATGCTTCCAAGAAGTGCTTTGATTTTGTTACAAAAAAAGCTGCCGAAGAAGAGAAAGCACAAAATGAAGCTACTGGAAATCATCCCGACATTTTGACAGTTTCGGGCGATGGAACTTGGATGAAAAGAGGTTTTACCTCTCTCATCGGTGTTTTTTCAATTATCGGCAAATATTCTGGAAAAGTTTTGGATTTGGGTGTTAAATCATCTTTTTGTCTCTCCTGCAGTCAACACAAAGCGCAGTTAGATGAGGAAGAATTTCTTATGTGGTATGAGGAACATAAAATCGAATGCTCAGCTAATCACGAAGGATCTGCAGGAAAAATGGAGTGTGATATGGCCGTTGAAATTTTTAAAAGGTCAAAAGTGTTGCATAATGTATTCTACGGTAACTACATTGGCGATGGAGATAGCAAAACGTACTCAAATATCGTTGATTCTGCACCGTACGGTACTCAGTTTTTCATTACAAAACTGGAGTGCGTTTTGCATGTAGCCAAAAGGATGTTTCGCCGGCTCATGGACGTAAAAAAAAAGATTACACTCTTGGAGAAAGCAAGTAAGTCAAAAGAAAAAGAAAAAAAGGACGAAATACTGAAGGAGAAACCAGTAAAAAGGAAAGGCAGACGATCAAAAGCAGAAATCGAAGCAGCAAAAGCTGATGCTGTGGCACATCCACCGGTGAAGTACGCTAAACTGACTGAAAAAGTCATTAGATCGATGTCGATTTATTACGGACTTGCGATACAAAGGTTCCCCGATTCAGTTGAGAAAATGAAAAAAGAAGTCCTTGCTGGATATTATCATAGAATTTCCACCGATACTGAACCACGCCATGAATACTGCAACCCGGACTGGTGCCAATTTTTGCAGAAACAGAAGAAAAATGAGCCGTACGAGCATAAACCAGCACTTGATCCAAATATTCGAAAATATATTTTGCCGATATTTGAAACTCTTAGTAGCGATGAATTACTAAGTCGATGTCTTGGAGGCAATACGCAAAACTGCAATGAAAGCTTTAATAACTTAATTTGGAAAATCGCTCCAAAAACAACCTTCGTCGGTAAAAAAGTTGTTGAAATTGCATCCTGGATCGCAGCTTGTACTTTTAACGAGGGTGCCCGAACATATCTTGCCATTATGCATCTGATGGATATCAAAATTGGTGACTACGCGTCGACTTGGGCCCTCAACATCGACAAAACTCGCATAGCTCAAGCCAACAGAAGAAGCGAAGAACATTCTAAAGAAGCCCGTACAGCAAGAAAAAAGGCCCAATCAGAGCATCTGAAGAGGTTGACAGAACTTGAAGATCTTCAGTATGCACCAGGGATGGCTGACTAAACGTAAGCATAAAAAAATCCTTTCTTGAAAATTTTTAATCCGATGTCAAATTTTCAAAATTCAAAGAAACGGATCTAATATGGTAAAATAAATTTTTAAAATCACCAGATTCGGTTAAAACTCATTATTCAGGGTTTTTAGGGGTCACTAATCACGAATTTAAGGTCAAATTCGTTGTCGACGACCCCAAAAACCCTTGAGTAACGATTTTCGAGCGAATTAGATGAATTTTAAAAAATGATTTCGACATATTGAATCCGCCATTTTGAATTTCGAAAAATCGATATCGGATTCGTAATCAGCGACCTCGAAAACCCCCGAGTAACGATTTTCAAGCCAATCGGGTAGTTTTTTTTAAAAATCGTTCGCCATTTTGAATCCGCCATTTTGAATTTCGAAAAATCGATATCGGATTCGTAATCAGCGACCTCGAAAACCCCCGAGTAACGATTTTCAAGCCAATCGGGTAATTTTTTTAAAAAATCGTTCGCCATATTGAATCCGCCATTTTGAATTTCGAAAAATCGATATCGGATTCGTAATCAGCGACCTCGAAAACCCCCGAGTAACGATTTTCTAGCAAAATAACTTGATTTTTTCGATTTAACTTGAGGTATATGTGCTAACTTATCTAACCAAAACTTTAAGTGTGTTTTTCTCAAAATGTACTTTTTTGAACTGGTACAAGTGATAGCTCGAGTTCTACTGAACCAATTTTGAAAAACCAAATTGCGTTTGATTTATTATCATCATGGCTAGGGGTGGAACCTCAAAAACTGGAAAATTTGCGGCTCCTTTGTTTTCTATAAGAGAAATTCTGAATAAAAACATGTGTTTTTTTCATGTTTTGGGGAAAAAGTGCCCTAAAAAAAAGAAGGGGAGGAAAATTTTACTTTTTTGAGGTTCCACCCCTGGAGAAATATCTAACGAAGAGAATGTCTCTTCTTTTTTGGTTTTATCTGTTTTAGAAAGTTTGGAATCGATCGTACCACCGAAAATGGGCATTTTCAAAAATGGCGTATATCGCCGCCATTTTGAAATAAAAATGAAAATTTTTTTTTTTTACAAATTCTTAAATAAATTATTTATTACATGTAAAAGAAATTTTTTAAATAAATGTCATAGTTATTTTAATAATATACACTAAAAAAGCCTTCTTTTTGCCTGTTTTGAACTGGAATGTCCCCTTAATAATAATTATTAAATTATTGTGTTAATTAATTAATTTAAAAAAAATAATTAATCTCATTAATAACAATTATTTCAATATTTAATAATCATTATTAATCATTAATTAATTTAATTTAATAATAATTATTAGTTTAACTATTAAATTAGTCACTATAGTTGTTACAGCTATGTACCACTGTTACTATAGTACTAATAACTAATTAATTTAATAATTCATTATTAAAATTAATTGAATTGTTATTAAAAAAACAATTTTTATTTATTCTCTTCTCCACTTTTGCAGAACCGAATATTACATAATTATAAAAATATAATAGATATTATTAAAATATTATTGAAAATAATTTAAAATTACAGTAAATATATATCTGTAGCATACCTTCACGTATTTCCAGTGCTAAATGAAAGCATGAAAAAAATTTTGAAATTCATTTTAGTAACTTCATTATAATCATAAATAGAGAAATTAAACTAATTTTGTTCCTATTATCAACATTTTATTCAAATTTCCAAACAATTATTAATATAATAATAAAAAACATAATTCTAATAAATTATACTATGGAACATAGTAAATATGTATTTAAATGTGTTATGAATAAGGAATCAAGGGGAATAAAATGTTCGACACGCAACGCTGATGATTTTGTCGAAAGTGAAAATTGTACGGCCTTTGATCAACACAAAGTTTCCTGGAATGAAACAACTATGAAATGCCACGCGCTCGACATATTCCAATTTGGATTCTATCACGAGCACGAATACCACGAGATGTCAAAATTCCTGTCATTCACTCGAAAAGGGCTTCGTCCTTGCATTCGTACTCGTCATTAGGCACTAATTTTTCACTTCCAACGAATTCTATTTTTATAAAGTCTGCCGGTAGTTTTTTTTCTCCCGCAACAATCAATTGAAGTGATAATTGCGCACATTTCTCTTTTAATTACCAAAGCCGAATAATTTTATTTTATTTCAATAGTGAATTTGTGAAAAAAACAACAGATTTCTTTTGTGGTTCTTTCTATGGAGTGAAAATCAAAAATTAAGGGGGAGTTAAGTTTTGAAAATGAAATTTTTAAATTAATGTAAAAATGAACACCCTACATAGTCTCGCCAAAGCTAATCAGACGCTTATGGATAATTAGATACTATTTTATTATTAATTATAATTATAGATACCAATAGTTAATTAGCAAGATAATAAGAAGACTGTGTAGGGAAATATAGATCATAATGGAACAACAGATAATCAGATATTCTCCCATAGAATGCAATATTATTGCAATTTAACTTTGAAGTAGTTTTTAGCATCTAATCAGTAAAGTTGGTATAATCGAGCTTTTCTGTAAAAACGAGGAACTATACTATACTATATTTACTATACAACTGCAACTAGCATGATTTTGTAAGTAAGGAGTATAATGTTACTTTTGAAATTGTACAGAAAGTGACAATAACAAAACAGTTCCAAAATTTGATGAAACTTATCACTTTATTGAAACAATAATTATTCTTATTTGCAGCATGCGGTAAAAACTTAACAAGATAATACCATTTTGGAGGATAATCCATTGTAGCACTCTGTTCATTTGTTAAATTAATGAATTGCTAATTAGTGCTCTTTAACTATTCTGTAATAATAAGCAAAGAAGTAAATGATGGTACAAAACTTGAATTATTAATTACATGTATCACTGTTAGTAAAAGAAGAAAATTGATACAAATAAGTACAACAAATTTTGAATATTTATCAGCAAAAGCAGAAAATGATTTACTGCTTTCATCAATTGCTACATTTGTTGACAAATAATAATGTTAAGTAATAATGATAGTATTGCAGGTACAACAAATTTGAATTATCATTATTATCATACAACCAGTCTTAAAAGTGGCAAATGATGCTGCAATGAAAATAACAAATTTGAATCATTATTTTAATCTGTTACCAAAAACACAAAAGACGGAGAAAAAAGTACAAAAAACTTGGATTATTTGGCAACAAAAGAAGCAAATGTATAGGTGCAACAAGTACAGCAAACTTGTATTATTATTTTGCTACAATTTTGATTTTTGTTCGCAGAAAGAAGCGAATTGATGATGCAACAAACTTGTTTTATTTATTATCAGAAGCAAAAAATAATAGTGCTGTAAGTACAACAACCTTGAAATATTATTTAGCAAAAGAAGCCAACGCTGATGCAAATAACTACAACAAAGTTGGATTATTATTTGTCAGTAAATAACTACTTCTTTTACTCAGCACCATCACAATTGTTGCTAAAAGAAGCAAATTGTTGCTACAAACTTGAATTATTTGTCACCAAGGAAAGCAAAAGATGGTGCAAATAAGTAAAACAAACTTAAATTATTATTAACAAAAACATTTGAATTATTACTTTGATATCACTGATGCCTATTCATTTGCTGATAAAATTAAAAGAAGAAGAAGAGAATGAAAAATGTATCTAAAAAAGTTGTCATTGTAGGATTAATGTAATGTACGTATGCAATTTGAATGTGCCACTCCCTAATATTGTTTACACTGATGAATTTTTGCTTATTGGGGTCGGTAAGGCAATAAAAAGTGGTGTGACAAATTAGAGACTTGTAATTCAACTTGAGGCATTGTTCGTTGTTCGACTTTCCATCCGCAAGTCTCGTGAGTGTCTCTTTGCCTCCTCTAGGAAGCTAATTTTAGAGGCTGAGAGAGTTGCTTACAATTAGCTCTCTGGGAGCAATTATTTAACGTTTAATTAGCACTTTTTGGTTTTTCCGTTTGCGATTAAGATTCTAATTAAGATAAACGGAGTTGTGTGTTAAATTTTTGGTTTCTTGTTTGTTATCCATTAACATGAGATAGAGAAAGAGAGACTAAATTCACTTCCGATTCTTTGATATATACAGGATAATGGTATTTAAATCCAATACAGTCGAGTGAGTCATTGAGTCTATTCAATTTCTTATTTTCCAAATTAAGAATTAAGAAAGAAAATTAAAGAATTGATTAATGACATAGTTGGAGAAATTTAGAAATACAGAAACAGAAATAGAAATGTTAAGATAGATAAATAGATAAAGTTTCACATTGATTCAGATTAGAGTCTAGAAAAGTAAGTTTACTTTTTCCTGGTATGGTTTTTAATTTGAATAAAATTAATTGACTGGAAGGTATAGATTATTATCTAGGAGTCGGATATTATTATTGTTATTAGTTGGTTTTTTGACGTTATCAAAATTCTGATTGCGGACTTTCGGCCCACCCGGCTGATTCCTGGCGCCCACATATGGTTTACAACGTCTTGTAAGACTGACCTTATTCGGACACCTTCTCCAATCGCCCACCTTTAGTTTTAACTAGTGCCTAGAATATTATTTCCACGTGTCGCAATTTCTTCAAGTAGGTGCTTTTTGTCGCATATTTTATATGCTTTTTAATCGAAAAAACACGCGCAGAAAGGAAGTGGAAAAAATTGTATTTTTAGAAATTATTAAATTTCAAAATGTTTTAAATTGAAATTCTTTTAATTGGAAAAAGTGATAAAAAATTATCCACGTGGTATATGAACGACCTCTTAGGGTATGTCAAAAGTCTTCCACGTAAGAAAATAAATATACACTTAATAATAAGTGATTTTCTCTCAAAACTAAGTGAAAATTCACTTATGAATATCTAAAAATAATAAGTGTACAGTTATTCATAATAAATACATTTATTTTCATACGTGAAAGACTTTTGACGCATTCAAAGTGATTTTTCACTAATTCAGATTTTGAGATGAGCAAAATTTCTTTTTTGAGATTAATTCCAACTGACAATCATTTCAAGTGATTTTCTGTCATGCGTCAAACATTTCTAGGCTATACTTGCAAGTAAAAAAAGAACCTTTTATCTGTAATCGTTTCTAATGATATACACATGTAAAAATTCCCGTTCAATTTCTTGAATAAAAAGAAAAGGGAAAGAAAAAACCATCAAGAGACACAAGATATTGAATCATCAGACTGTAAAATCTTCTGCCGCCGCCATATTATAACAAGTTTATAATTAAACGGACATTAGCATACACCGTGAAAGCACCGATTGAAATCAACTGCTTTTATCCGCGCGCGCGCACTAACGGCAAAGAAGAGGAAAAAAAGCTCGTAAAATGCAAAAGGGAGCAAGTGGGCATGAACAGGATTCTTATCTTCGTTGACCATGGTTTTTGTACCATAAGAAGATGAAGATAAGGTGCACAACGCAATTTAAAACTCTCGTGCATTTCTTTATATATGTATATGTATACACGCATTATATGGAGAAGAAAATAGAAGGACCGTTTTTCAAAAGCAAAATGGAAAACATGAACATCGTGTAGTCTCCCGAGACATTCTGGCAGCGATCTAACCTACGCGAAACGAATGAAATCGGTTCCGCTAAACGGCATTGCAGCTAGAAGTAGAAGAAGAAGAAGATGCATTAATCTTTGCCAACTCTTTTCAACTCCTACGCATTTATATGTGTTTGTGCATGTGGCAACCGCAACTGAATGCAGCCGCGAGAGTAGTCATGACTTATTACCAGGACAACTCATTCTTCAACGGAAAAGAACTTGTGGGAACGCCCGATTCAATTCTAACTCGTTAGAGGTAAATCTCTTGTCGCTGGAAAATAGCCTCTTTTTCAAATTGTTTCCGAGACTTTTTTTCCAAAATAATGATGTCTGTATGTGACATTATAAAACCACTTTGAAAAAAATTCTAGAATACTATTATACAGGCTTCCTATTATGCTCAAGGACCTCATTTCTGAAATCGTTCTCTTTTGGGGCTGATACTGCACCGAATGTTTATTTCTATTCTTTACTTGTTACTACTACTAATACACGGACTAAAAATCTATTAAAACCTACTATTTTCTACTTTTTATACTGTGACGTAGAGATTACTGATGATCCAAATTAATATATTTAAATATTCAATTCGAATCATTTGCATCGAATCCCGTTCAAGAAATACTCTGCCATTTTGAACTATCGCTTTTCTCAAAATCCACACAATCTCATCGGGGAATTCTGCCAAGCCGATGCAGTGATGCAAAACGGTCATCTGAACAACGAACCACCAAACCGAACTTTAATTAATAAAATTCTTCACATAAAATCAGTTATTTTAAAAAATTTTAATAAAATGCTTCCTAAGAATTCAATTATTTTCAAAAATTTTAATAAAATTTTTCTTGTGAATTCCAATGTTTTCGTGAATAATAACATTTTTTTAAAAAACCTTAATAAAACTCTTTGAAAGAATCCCATTATTAAAGAAATGTTGATAAAATTTATTATAAAATTTGAATTTTACAAATTATTCAATTATTCAATAAAATTATTAATTTTTGTATTTAAGTAATTGAATTCT